CCCCCCCCCCCCCCCTTTTCTCCTTCCTCCAGGCCACACATACAGTTCACCTGACCAAAGTTTAGACCTTAGACTATTTTTCCTCCACAATTCCCCCCTTTGGCGCTTCTCTAGTGCCACCTTTGGCCTAAACTTTAACATTCATGAGCCCATTGATTTCTTTCCTTTTTTCTTTCCCTTTTCTCATCCCAACTTTTATCAAAAATTTTATTAACAGTCATTAATGCCACTTGTTCCTTTGCCTAGCAAAATTATATGCACAGCAATAACAAAGGCACAATCCCAAACCAAGCAACATCACCACAACTGTTAGCCCACTCAATATAACAATAAAATGGGGTTTGCATATAATTTTGGTTACCACACACAGCAAATCCCAACTAATACACAAAGAAGACAGCCTATAGGCTGTCTGAAAGGCATCCTTTTTTTATCTGATATACATTTTTAAGCATATGAATTTGTCCCTATAAATCAGAAATTTTCTGGACCTCAGGTATCAATGAAAGCAGATTTTGGAAATGGTCTGGTACCAGGGTTGTCTAGTTAAAGGGCATTTTATACCTGAGAGTTGATTACAAATTTTTATCCAAAGGCCAATAAATAACATGGCTTCCTGCAGTCATACTGAGGTTAAAATGGCGTTGTGTACAATATGGGCCTTAACAAATACACAGCTGTTATTATGCTGGAAGGTCATGACTCCTGTCAGGAGGGTTCCCAGTCCATTACCTTCCCAACAAACATTGTTATGGACAGTGACAACTTTCCCTGGCTTGAGTTTACATATACATTGAAGCTGTGGGGGTTCCAATGACCAGAGTGTCCATTGGTTTCCTAATCCAATCCAAATACTGGGTGTTATTTCAGGGGCACCGACTATAAATCGGCTAGGTAAACCAGGTGGTTTTATTTCCTATATGTCTCAGTGAATAACCCAATCCCAGATGTATCCTCCCCATGGACCAGGCAGGATTCAGTATGTGGGAGCCCACATCCTTCTAACCAGTCCATATGTTTGGAAGGAGCACTGTGAATATCCACACCTTCACCTGGAGAACCTCCAAGTATGCCTCCATGGCCATAGATCAGATAGCCTGAAGTGTCTGTAAGGGCAGTGGGCAAGGCCTGGTGCTCAAGATCATTCCGAATGGCCATTAGCTGGTCATTTAGAAAATCCGGGACTTTTGAAGAGCCATGTCCCCCTGCAATGCCTTCCCAGCACCAGTGATATTTAAGACCATCTCCGTCAGCAACTTCTGGGTTATAGAACTAAGGGCGGAAATAACATGTAACTCACCAACTCTAGCCTGTACCTGGGTTAGCTGTGCCCCAGAAATAAGGCTTGTGGCCTCCTCTAGTTGCCCCAATTTCTCATCATGTTCTTGGTTTTTAAAAATATTCCAAACTGCTGCTGCACTATTGGCCCCATCCCATAGGGATCCAGTCAAGTCTCTCTTCTTTCTAGAGGAAATAACCCAAGCCCTCTGTTGTGCTAATCTAATGGCAGCCCCCCCTTTGAACAATTTGGGTATATAGAAGTGATCTGGAAACTGGATAAGGGCAATGAAAATTTAACAGTCCCTAATGTAATGTTAATCACAGTCCATTAATATCCTAAGACATCTCTCTTTGGTGTCGTACTGTACCACATCTGTTGGCTAAACACCTTTATGTACTTCTGGGACCCATTGATATTAATGGCATAAGAAGGGGTGTATTACAATAAGGTACAGATCACATTATTAGTCACTGGAATAATTTTTATGCAGGTAAAATTTCCAGTGGCAAAACAAACTCTTTGGGTATTCGTTTAATTGTTCACTAATTGGGTGACCAAATAACAATAAGGGCCTCTCTCATTTAACACAGTGCAAATTCCAGGAACAGCCATCATATCTACTTGGCTATAGATCCCATCAATTGCAATTACAGATTCTTGGGGTTCACTGGTAGTGATATCATATACTTTTATCTCCACTGATTTACTTGTTTTCCATTTAATTGTTCGCTTATATGGGATATCCTGAACCTTAAAAATAATTTCTTTTTCTAACCAATATTTAAATAGATCACTAAAGTGTGAAGGCCTTGGCCATTGGTTTTATCAAATATATGGCATTGTCTGTATTTGGATGTGTTACAGGGGTAATAGTGTAATGGAGGAGATGGCAGGGGCAGTGGCAACAAGGTGACTTTGGTACTTGTCATTTAAAATCCAATTAGGGAGGGCAATACATGCCGAAGGACTTATCCAAAACACAGGGCGCAGCCTGTAGAATAAACCCCAAAATCCAATCAATACCACGTTCCCAAGCATGGGTCCCACAAGTTTCTTCCTGCCAGTGTGTAATTCTTTGTTTCTTCACCAGGGTCAGTTCTTAATGTCTCTTGTAGTCAGGAATCCCTGGACTTTGGTGGTTTCAATGGAGCGAGTGTTCCTTCTTCTCTTTTCCTGAAACAGTCGTGGTTCAGCATCATACAAGGGAGAGGTTACCAACACTTCACCTTGTCCTTTTTCCCTGTTGTCCAGAAGGCACAGCAGAGCTAGAAGGAGAAATAGGCTTATCAGTCGGAGAGTCCTCCCGAGGTGGAGGGGTCTTTTTTACAGTGAGAAGCATCGGTCCAGACAGGCAGTCCTTGGCACTTCACAGCGGTGTTGGTGGTTAACAGGACTTGGAAAGGGCCTTTCCAGCACAGAGCCAAAGCAGTCTTTCGTTGATGGACTTTACCTAGACTCAGTCTCCTGGTTTCAATAAATGGCAGGGCTGCTAGGGTCTTTGGGTAGCACTTCTTTACCTGTGAGAAAAAACCTAACACATTTCATTAATGCCTGGCAGTGTTTTGCAGATATTTTTACAGCTGCTTGGGCACATTCAAGCCCCCGCTTTTCTTGGTTGTCAGCCAAGTCTTAGCTGTAGCAGTGTCCTTGAATGGGGCCAGCGTCTTATCTTTGGACTGAGCTTGCTAGCTATTTTTTTTTAACCTACAAAGAAAACTTCCACTCTTCACTCATACACGTTTTCTCAACAATGAACACATACACATTGCCATTATACAGTACATTAGTCTTATTATTCAATGTATGCCACATATACCCTTCCAGTAAAATAACTTTATTACAGAGCTATGGAGCAACAAACCAGGACAAGCACACCCACTTTTGAGGAGTCCACTCGGTACAACCTCTGGTGTCCAATAGCTTTCCTCCCTCCCCAGCCCTCTGGCTAGAAATCTGAGGTAGCCAGAAGGATCCCATGTGCAATATAGGGAGTGGGTTAACCTTT